CGTCTAAAAACCAAAAACCAAACGTTAAAATTAGTACAGACCAACTAGAACGGACGAACTAGCACTAGCATACATACCAAACACAACCAACTAGTCTTCTTCTCTCTCTCTCTCTCTCTCTCTCTCTCTCTCTCTCCCACACACACACAAAACATCAACTATAGCAAATCACATGGGCTCAAAAAAGAAAGGAAAATTTTGTTGATATACACTGATGATCATGCTTATTCAAGTCGAAACTAATTTGAGGGGTCGCAACCCAACAATCAAAACATAAAGAAGTCAGACAAAACAAAAACTGAGCATTAGCTGGTTATGTTTGACTTGGCATGGGTTGTTTAGTGATCGCTAAATGATGTTGACTTCCACCAATCGCACAACTTTTGTGGCTTATAGTCAATATGCATATTGACAACTAGATATATACATTACCATCAGCAATGAATGGCAATTAATTATTAAAAATTAATAAACATCAGTGAATTTCCTACCATATTGTGACAATGTAAAAGAGAGATAAGAAATTAAATAAAAGGGAAAAAAAAAAATCACCTGCGACCGCAACTTGGGCTTCTTCTATAACAAGGACTGGGGCTTCGACGTCGTCCACTTCCCAATCCCCCAGGACCAATACGTAGGCGACACTCCAGAGCAAAATGGCCAGGCTCACCACATTCATAACACTTCATGTCATCACCACCCCCACGCCCACGAGAACCACCGCGGCCTCCACCACCCTTTGAATTATGAGAGAGCTCAACACGCCATCCGTTTTTCCCTATCAGTTAATTACACCAAAAATCAAAGAAGAAATTTATTATAATCTCTAACTCAAAATATGAACTCTATGTCGAAGTTCAAAACCACAACATCTCCAAGGTAACAAGTTCCCCAAGGGCAACCCATACGCATTGGCAACCCCAGCAGAGTAATTGGAATCCAGTGTACATCACTTCCTAAGATGAACATCGTCCTTCACATGGAGGCAAGTTTACATATATCAAAGATGACTCTCTCAATATTTATGCCGGTAATGTCATGGTCAAGCTTTGGTGCATTTATAGATAATTCTTTTGGCGAAGTAACAAGAAGGAACATAAGTCCAACTTAATCAGAAGGGACAATGCAAGCCACCAAAAATAGGTGGGGATTCAGGTTTTATGTAGATAGTAAGAATTTATATTGGCGTTGGCCAATAAGTGGCATCAGCATGAAATGATGATTTTGGTGTAGCTCTTGCCTTCAAGAGTTTTTTTTTGTATCTACATTCTCTACCCACCTGATTGCTGATTTTTTGTACAGGGTTCCCCTCTAGGGCAGCCTTTATACTGCTGTACAGAACTCCCGTCTTCTGGGATGCTTATTTTTTGTATACAGAACTTCTGACTTGTGGGAAGCCTATTTTTTAATCTCTTGTACTCCATATTCTCTCTTTTAATAGAATAGAACGGTTAACTCTTTCAAAAAAAATGTGGCATCAGCAGCTAGGGAGACCAATAGCCTCTGTTATTAATCAATAACGTCAACAACTGTTGGACAAGGATCAAAAGAAATGAGGAGGCACTCTAGCCATCTGTTGTCCGAGACAACCGTCAGTAAGACAAGCCAGTCCAAGAAAGGCATCAAATTTCTGCAATAGCAGTAGCGTAAGCTCTTAAGCAGTCAGCCAGTAACTTTATTGCGAGGCACCCAGATGTTCACAAATTCAAATGCTTTGAAAAAGAAGGAACCAGAATCAGCTAAGATCCACATTCTCGAAGTTATCAAGATTTTGTAGCTTCATGTTAGGATGTTTGCCATTTTAATACCCTTGACATCAGTCTCCAGGCAGATGTTGCCCCTTCAAGTTGACATCCACTTCCATGAGACATATAATGCATAGGTAAAGCACCTTGGCTATTATCTAGGCTTATGGATAGATTGGCAAGATAGGACCTCCAGGACCGTACAACAAGCCTATTGACCCCACAGGAGATCTAGTTTACAACTATTAATTCAAAATCAGTGAAGGACCTTCAGGGTTTCAAGACATTGGATCTAACTGATGGAAGGAGCGGTTGCCCTCACAAGAACCACCATCCGAAGAACCCAGATGCATTATTGGGTTTATTGAGGATTCATCAGATTTAAAATAACCTCCCTCATCAACCCAGACCTACCAGACAGCAATCTTCCATACTGTTGAAAAGTCAATCCCAAGGTAGCATGAGTGATAGGTTGTTTCTGAGATTTAGACAAGTACCATTTTACTTTGATAATTTCATTGTGAAACTACATGAAACCAATGTTCAAGAAGGCGGGTTATCTTCTTCATATATGTGTAGAGAGGGCGAAGGGGCTTGCATCAAACACTTTGAGGTCATTTTCTTATTTTTCTTGTTCTTCTTATATGGAGAGAGAGAGAGAGAGAGAGCATATGGGTCTGTATGTATATGTGTGTGATAGAGAGGCGCCTTGCATCTAACACTTGGAGGATGTATGTTTATCTTCTTCTTTATATATTTTACATATGGGACTGTATACTATGAGACCATTTACCTTTTTTTGGGTAATTATGAGACCATTTCCCTTTCTTACAAGGAGGTTACAATTATCCCTAACCATTAGATGTCAAATTGGATAGCTTGGCGTGTGTCACGAAGTTCAAAAAAAACTTTTTTTGAACTTTGAGCGAAGTTAGTAACATATTCACAACCACCCAATTTGAAATCTAAAGAACAAGATTGATTGTGACCTCCTCGTGCGAAAAGTAAATGGTATCTTTCTATATTTATTTATATATATATATAAAAAAAAAATAGAGAAAGAGAGGGAACTTGCATCAAACACGTTTGAGGCCATTATCTTTATTCCTTTGTGGAGAGAGACAAGAGAACAAGAGTTCCACGTTGTGAATGTAGGATTGGGAATCAAAATCTTATTTTTTTCCTTTTTTATTTTCTTTTTTCAATTTTTGCCAAGTCAGCCACCTGTGAGAGTCTAGGTGGGCGCCCAGGTACATGTCTGCATAAGGCACCTGCCTAGGCCCATTCAATTCACTCAGACCTCAGGCAGCCAAATTTTTTAACACTGTATGAAACAGATAAAAAAATTGGGGAACAGAATGCAAAAAAAAAAAATGTAACCCAAACAGCCAGATGATAATATTGTTGGAAGTAAAGCTATGATGATTGCCCCAAAATAAAGCTCAAATAATATAATAGGGCAGAATTAGTTCCCTTACCATCCAAGCCACGAATTGCATCTACAGCATCTCTACGGTCATCAAATTCAACAAAGCATAACCAGGTGGTTTCCGAGCAACCCAGACACTGCATAGCAGCAAGAAACCAAGTAAGACATTCAACTTTTGTCAATCAGCAACTACATGTGGAGGTCTCTCGACCAACTTAAGGCCACTGCATGCCATTCAGAAGCAAGCAAGATCCCCGAACAAAATATCAGCTTCTAAACGTCAACGTGCTCCAAAAATTTCGCAGAACTGCTGTTAATAAACTGTCAAACTTGCTGAAATTTATCAGGAATTTGACTGCATTAATTAATTAAAGAACAAGCAATGTAAAAGTAAACTATTTTTCCATAAACTTCTTTAAAGCAAACTCTAGATAGGATATAATTGAATTGTAATCACGGACAGGATAAAAAACAAACTTAGAAGTATTTTATATAGGATTTTAGAGCGAGATTAGGGGATTAATACAAGGTTTAATCCAAACATATTAGTGATAAAGATGTATTAAGTGAGGTGCACTGGATCACGAGAGCAACGTGCAAACCTAATTAGGGGCATATAGAAAAGGCGAAGGTGAAATTAATCTTGAAAGCTAGGAGGAGAAGATTAGGGAGTGCAGGAACAAGAGGAATCGTGCAAGAAGGGTTGGGAAGGTCAAAAAGATTTGACAACTAAGAGACGGACAATCCGTGCAACTCATATGACCGATTCAATGAATAGAGTGAGTGAGGAGATAAACTCAAGGTAATCGGCAACAATAAATCAAAGAGACGGTAGAACTCGTACGAGTATCTTTAAACAAAACCAATGAGTTACTAACTCCAATTAGTGGGGAAAAAGAGTAACTTAAACCATAAATACAAAACGTAACAAAGAGAGTAGGAGAAGGCAAGGAAGTGGAGAAAGAAAACTAACTTGCCATGATCCTAATCCCAAAAAAAAAAAAAAAAAAATTGACAAGTTAATTTCTAAGATTTATTCTGAACAAATATCTAATTAGATCACTGAATTTAGAAGCTAAGCATAAAAACTCGAAATCTAGATTTGAGTCTAAAGAGAACTAGTGTTTTTAAAATCAGCTCGGCCGTGAAACTTGGCCCATGGCTTGGCCAAGTTACACAGGCAAGTCTGAGTCAACTCGCCCAGGTCCAGGTCGAGCCAACCAAAGAGTCAACAATGAAAAAGGAAATTGTAGCTATTGTAAAAGTTACACTTAAATTTCTAAGTGACACATAAAATCAGAAATTTTTACTTATAATAGATTGTAAATCTCCTAAAGAAGTGTTAGAAAAAGATGTAAAAAATCTAGCTTCTAAACAAATATTTCCTAGATGACGAGTTATATTATCCATTTTTTAATTTGATATCAAATTTATTAAAGGTGAAACTAATTCCCTTCCTGTCTTTGTAACCTATGAATTCTTGCAGAAGAAAAATGGCATAGATAAATCCCAAACAAAAGGTATCTTATGTTAATGGTAATACCATTAGAAAATAAAGATCTAGAAGCTGAAAGTATAGCAACAAAAAATTTGGGTGCTTCTAGATAGTATAGCAACAAGATATTCAGGCAAAACCTTTCATTTTCCAATTAGGACAACTGGAAAAGATCATTACTTTTATGAACAAATCCTTATAGGCACTGAAAGTGTTCATATTAAAAACAATTATAGAGGAAAGTCGAACATATGTTGTTTCTACTTTAATTATCAATAAGATTATATCCTTCGAAGAATTCGGTGAAAAAACATTTTCCTGCAAAAGGTTCAATGAACAACCAAGAAATTATAGATCATATGCATCCTATTACCAGTACAGTTATATGGATGCATGGCACTATATTTTACTTCTTCAAAATAGAGTGTTCACTCATTCTTGGAAAATTATATTCTCTTAATCATTCAATCAGAATATTCCACATCGGTTCCTGCTATGGTGAGAAAAATTTGGAGCAATCACCACCATCTTACAAAAAGTACAACATTAATATTAAAAGTTCAGAAATGACAATATTGAATTATTACATTTTTATAGCTGAAAAGTATATCCCTTGGATCCTAAAATGGACTTATTTTATTAATTTAGAAAAGAATCCCTCTACATTAGATATATTGGTAGAAGCAAGATGGTATGACAAAATTAATGAAGATAATTACATAGAAAAGGAGGATAATAAAATCTCCTCTAACAATCGTAAGTTCTTTGATCCCTATGAACAGTGTTTGCAAAATCGAACCGGAATGGTCAACGGACATGGGCTCGAAAGCAGTTCAACCGGCCTAATTGGAAAACCACCAGATTCAACCATTCTAACCTGGCAAGTCCTAGCAGTCAAAAAAGTGTTGAACATAATAATAAAAAAATACAAAATAAAATCTAATAAAATAGGATAAGTATATTTAAAGAATGATTATACAAAACACATCCAAATGAAGTTGAACATTAATGAAAAAAAAAAATTTTAAAGAATCGACTTGTGTCTAGGGGTATATTTGAAATTTTCTAAAAAAATGGAAATAAGTACTAATGACCAAAATAGTTTTTAATCTTTGCTACAATATTAAAAAATATATTACTTTATTTTTGAGATTTTATATTTTATTTTTTTTGAATTTTTTTTAAAACACCTGACAGGTCACCAAAACCGGTCGAAACTGGAACCAGCCAGTAGCCGGTTCCAATCTAACCGAGTGGTTACCTGTTAGATTGCCCATTTTTTTTAACCTTGCCTATGAATAAAAGGCAAATGACATACATGGAGTTAATTCAATAGATTTTGAATGTTTCCAAAGAAGAAATAAATGGGATTGATACTAAATGGGATTGATACTAAAAAAGTTGAAAACTTAACGTAAAACCAGAAATACAAAACTGAAGAAGCCTCTAGGAAATCTCCACAAAGCAGATTCCCTGACAAAAGTAAAAGTAGATTATTGCCTTGTCAATTCAAGTAAAACCATACTCCTCCCCTATCAAATCAAGTAATAGCGTATGCCCTCGAAGAAGAGATTATCTTGCTTGTTAATAAAAAAACAAGATTCCATTATCTAAGAGATAGGGATCACGCGTATTGAATACCTTAGAAAGATGATGCTCTTATTCTTAGAAGGTACTCAAAATGAAGAAGCTCTTGCCACTGACTCTCATTTAGAGCTCTATATACGAAGGATAAGGGGGATGAAGAAGGCATCAATCTTCAGACCTCTTTCCTCATTATTCTCTCTCGATCTTGATCTTGATCTTGTATTTAGCTTTTTCTCTCTTAATTTGTAATTATTGCTTTAAAGTTGCAAAATATAAAAAACGTCGTATAGTATGCAGTTTTTAATGTAAATTTTTATATTTATAAATCATTTAATACAAAGGAAACTAGAGGAGATATATTAAATTTTTTGTTATTATTATTAAGAAGATTCAAACTTTCATAAAAAACTAATAACAAATAGGAGTTTTAAATAAATGTCACACGTATACAAAGCTTTATATCTCGTAAATTTAAAGTGATAATTACAGATTCAAAGAAAAAGAAAGCTACCACAAGATAAAAAATAGAGAGAGAACAAGAGAGAAGAGCGATGCCTTTATCTTCTTTGCCCTTCTTATATAGAGCTGAAAAAGAGAATTGTTAGTAAGGGCTTCTTCCTTTTGAGGTGACGACCTTATCCTCTAGGGATAAGAGCATCTTCTTTTTAAGTGAATGTCACACCTATACAAAGCTTTATATCTCGTAAATTTAAGGTGATAATTACAAATTCAAAGAAAAGAAAGCTACCACAAGATCAAAAATAGAGAGAGAACAAAAAAGAAGAGCTCTAAAGAGCGATGCCTTTATCTTCTTTGCCCTTCTTATATAGAGCTGAAAAAGAGAATTGTTAGCAAGGGCTTCTTCTTTTTGAGGTGACGACCTTATCCTCTAGGGAAAAGAGCATCTTCCTCTTGCGGTTTTCAGTACATGTCATCTATATATTTTAGATACAGGAATCTTCATTTTTGTTGGACCAGCCAGGGATCTCTGTTTCAAGGGAATATGTTTTTACTTGATTTGACAAGGAGGGAATCTGCTTTTATTTGATTCGACAAGGCAGGGAATTTACTTTTACTTTTGTCAGCAGTGTTTAAAAAAAAAAGGGGTCGCCGGATTGCCCATCCGAAAAACTAACCTGGATCGGGAAATAAGCAGTCTGGATCGATGGATCGGACAGTTCCAACCTTCAAATAATTTCCAAAACACACTATATATCCTTAAAAAATCTAGCTTCTTAGGTTCCAAAAAAAAAGTTATGGTTTTTTCTTGTTTTAATAAGAAAATGTGTCTCATGTATGAGTGTTGTCTCGTGTATGACTGCTTGTTGTCCATTACATTGAATTTATACGGAAAAAAAGAAAGTTTTTGGAATGGAGAAAAAATTAAACTATGAGAGCAAAATAGTGAATTTAAAAGAAATATGAATATTTCCATTCTCTCTCTCACACACACACAAACATATTGGACCACTCTTTTTCTTTCCCATGGACATACAAAAACCAATTAAGAAGAAATTGCCCGATCCAGAAAAAAGAAAAATACTAAGTAAACCACACTTGCCCAGTCTTCCTTTTTTTTGGAATGTTCAACTTAATAAAAGAGATTGTACAAGTATAAAAAATGATCTCCCCCACAAGGGAACAACATACAAAATTCAGCCAAAGGGTGAGGGGTACACAATTATATACAGCCATGGCTTCCAAAAGAGTCAAGGTGGAAACCGAGTAAGACCCAGAATCATGTGGGTCCACCAACACTAGGACTTGATGCACCTTCCTTAGCAAGGGCATCGGCTAGGGAATTGGCCTCACACCAGACGCAAGTCCAAGAAATTGCGAATGGCCTGCATATCTAACAAATCTCGTTGAAGATATCGGCCAGTCTCCACAAGTGGGTTGCCTTTCCTGAGGCACATGAAATGACGCTCTTAGAATCCCCTTTGACCGAGAGGGCACTACACCCACTGGGATTGAAAGCCCTTGCTCCCAAAGCTTCTACAGTGGTGTTATCAGCAGTGCCGATCGATATAGAGTAGGGGAAGAAAGTATTGCCCG